ATGATTTTTTTTTAAAGAAAGAAAGAAAATACCATGGCTTGGGTCAGATACACCTCAGACCTCAAAGTAATACATCCTTGGTCTTCAACCCTTGAATAGGTCTTGTGCAGCAGATCTGCCCAATGCAGTCCATTGTTAGATTTCGTGACGGCTGCTTCCGTGAGCATTGATTGTGGACCCAAGAAGGTGAAATCCTGGAGAACTCCAGTCCTGGGGGAAGCCTGATTTTCTTTACCGCACTGAAAACCACAGTCCTTGATTCTCCTCGAGTACTTCAAGTCCTCGCCTTCAGCAAGCAGAGCCGTGCCATAGCTTATTGCTGGCCGTTAATAAGCCTTCCTTCAATCCCACTGCCGTGTTCTTCCTCACAAAGTGAGCTTCTCTGATGATCCCCCAGCACACAGATTGAATAAGTAGAGTGAGAGAGTACAGCCCTGACACACACCTGTCCTGATTTTACACCATGCAGGGTTCCCTTGTGTTTTGGTTTCTTTTCCCACAACTGCCTCTTGATCCGTGTACATGTTGCACATTGTTCTCAAGGTCATCCTTAGTTTATTAGGATCTACACAGTCCAATGCCTTTGCAGAGTCCACGAAGCACAAGTAGACATCTTCCCGGCATTCTCTATTTCAGTCACGACCCATCTGCTGTCAGCAGTGATAGTTCTAGTGCCACACGTGCACCTGGCAGTTCCTTGTGCTGCTGCCATGAGTGCTGTCAGCGGAATCTGACTTGTATGTGATATGACCTGTCCCCAGGGCTCAGCCACACGGTGGACGTGTCTCTAAGAGAATAACAGCACTGGAAAGTACAAACTCCTCAGCGGGATGAACTCTGAAAGAGTGGAAGGCCAGCATTCCCCAAGGGCAAAGTTCCAAAGGGTTGGGAAAGAAAGGAGAAGGAAAACGCAGAGGGGAAGTGGGACGGTGTTCCGCTGGGGGGATGGCCGTCCATGACTTGAGACAAAAGGTCTATGAATGATTGACTGGAAACAGAACTGTTCTTCAAGCCTGCACCCAGCTCACAGTAGGAAGTTGAAAACCAAGCAACAGAGAACAATACATGGGCACACCTGTGTCAGCTGTCATTCCCTCACTGCCATCGCGCCACGCTGACTGAGCAACCCCGCGTTCCTCACAGGTGTCCCCCAGAGGAACCTTCCTCCTGTAAGTGACAGCTTTTAGGGTTGAGTCCCTGCCAGACACATCGCTCCGTCCCCTGCCCTTGCTGACCTCTGAAGATGCCATTCTAGCAGAGCACTTTGCCAAGGCCCGCGGCTGCCCTGGGCACTGACAGAGGAGTGCCTTGCAGCTGACACTTAGACTCCCTCCCCGGAGCACTGAGCGCCACGGTGTCAAGCAAGGAGAACAGCTTGCAGCCTGTCCCTTCTCCTCCCTATAAGGAAAGGTACTGGATCATCTCTATGACCCCATTCAAAGACTCCAGACAAGGGCCATCTGGAATGCTGAGGAAAATCACCTGGCAGCCTTGGCACAGACCCTCTGCCAGCACAGGGACCTCTAACCAGCATCTCGCCCTGGACGTGTCCCGACCAACGCTGCCCACCAAACACAACGCCATCCTGCAAGTT